ACTCTTTACAAGCTGAGTTGTGTGGCTCCTGAGATCGGCCAGAGGCACGCAATGAGCGGCACAGATTTAATTTTACTGTTTCTGACAACATATCCAGGCTAAGCAAGCACACAACCACATGGAATGTTCTATCAGAGAAATATGCATTTCAATGACAATCATGAAATGATTTTTAAAACTCTAGCATGATGGTTCACAGAAAATACAAGCCTAGATGTTCTCAGGTTGATTTTTTTTTTTTTTTAAATTTGCTGTATTTTGGGTTACGTTTCAGCCTATGTAGAATGCAAGCAGCACACCCAATTCTCTTCACCTACACACATGCCTTCCCTTTAATGAACTTCACTCAGCTGCTGCGCTGTATCACTGCGAGCCTCCTCCGCCACATCGCAGCCCCTTTAATGAGAAAGCAATAGCTCCAGGACTACGTGGCTGACAAACACATCCTCAACATATTTTTCACTCTTTTGTTGAAGACAACGAAAGAGCACAAGGAATTCACGGGGTACGGAACCTAAAAACACTCAAGCACAGCATATATGGCGGTCATCAGAAAGATGGGGTCGTTTGCAGAAAGAAAAATCAGATAAATTAAAAGCCATCCTAAAACACAAAAGGGCATGATTCATGGTGTGGTTACGTAAGGCAGCAGTGCCATAACGCTGTTTAAGTCATCTTGCAGCAGCATGACAGCGATTTAAGAAGGGATGAATCAAACCCCATGTTTTCATTTTAAAAGGATGCTCAAAGCATCAAACCGCAGGAAGAGCTACAGCTTCACCTGCCTCCTGACAGGGTCCCTCCCGGTACAACTGTGAGGGTGGGCTCGGCTTGGGACATGTAGTCGCACAACTCCCTTCAAATTTGGTAGGAAACTGGCTAGAAATAAAAACCCGTTTCAAATGTGGTGTTGTTCCATGATACGAAGATGCATTTCCCACCCGGGGTGGAGAGGAGGCGCACACTGCGCCCCGCGGGGCAAGCAGCGGCAGCAGGGCAGGCTCTGGGGGGGACCCAAGGTCGCTTCCCTTCCCTGCCATCCAGGACTTTTAATGCACTTCTACCGCAAATGTAGATAATTATATATTTATTTTAACATAATATCTTTTTTTTTTCCTGCTTAGCCGAGTTGCTGCCTTGTCCCCGAGGAGCTTTTATCATTACATTAAAGATCTTATTTTTGCTCTAACTGACAGATGCCGCAAACTATCTATAAACTCTGGCAGCCAACTACAGATATCTGTTCTCTGCAGATTTATTATACATCACTGATCCCCTCATGGAGAAAATTCACTTCGTTCTCGAGTACAGTCACTGGATGAGCAGCAAACCAGACTACCTTTGAGGTCAGATACCTAAATCTCCATCCTGGCCGACTCCTAGGGAGGAAGAGGCAAGGCAAACACCAGAGCCCAAACTGGATCCACAGATATTCTCCATCTGCCAAAAACTGTAACAGACAGTGGCTAGGACATATTTGCTACATATGCAGGACACTCAGAATCAATTAAGTCAATTCTGTTGCTGCACAGACTAAACCTAAAAAACATACCATAAGGAACAGAACACAAGAATTCACCACAGTCACGGAAAGGGAAAGGAACCGCGATTTAATATTGCAATTTAGCGTGAGCTCCATGGAAATGGGACACCTGGTGTGTTAGCCCTAACGTGCTTTCCTACATGAGCGTGGGAAAGCACTTAGCTGAGCCTCCATTTATCCTCCCGTAAGCCAGATGTCTTTTTTACCTATTTACAAGTGGGGTAATTGCCGTGGACTTAACGGCCTCTTTATCAGGCACGGTGTTTTGGAAGTGTTTCGGGCTAAAAGGCGCTCTCAGGTGCGGGGCACAGACAGTAGCACGGGGTAAGGAAGAGGGATGGCACGGTAGCGGGGTGGTTTTCGAACCGTGTACCAAATAGATCTATAACCTTCGGCAATGCAATCTGAAGGAAAGGATTCTGCACAGACACCAGCGTGACTGAAGCGCCAGAGTCGCAATAAAACCAAGAGCAAGTGATCATGACATAGACCGCGATATTCTCTCCCCCTATTACATTACATCATCAATGCTAATTTAATTTCTCCCTGGAAATGATGCAACTATCTGTTATAGTTATCTACAGTTTGAGTACATCTCTACTTTTCCATATATTCTCGCTTCAGGAATTTGACAGTGTTTTGTGGGGCTTTTGCTCCCGATCAATCCCATGTCGCCATCTGTCCGCTCCTGACAAATCCCATTCGGGAACACATCCCTGTAAGGGCTTGGAAACCCTCAGGATGCGTCGATGTCATTTACTTGAGCTGATCTGTTCCCCCGACTCCCTGTTGGCATCCCTCGAACAGGTGAGTGTTCAGCTGGTATAAATCAGCTGAGCTCTCTTGGGACTCATTTACATCAACCAAGAATTCAGCCCAAAATACAGAGCTGACTTCCCATGCATCAGACTGTCAGACTGTATCCCTTGCTGAAAGGGCCACCATCAGCAAAAGAAGTGCTAGAAACATTTAAGAAACAGTGCTGGAATGGCATTTCTGGCAACATTTTTGCCTAGCAGGTGAAGTAGGGGCAGATGGTCCTCACCAGCCCTTAAGGACAAACCAACCAAACCAGAATCCACCAGGTGATAAACAGCAGATCATTGAGAACTTGGGTGGAAACTTCCTTTGGAAAAGTAGATCAACATTAAACGGACGCCCGTCTTTAGGAAGAGTATTTAAAAATATGAATTTGGGACACAACATGACAAAAGTCTAAGGGCTTGCCAAGCCCATCAGGTTCAAGAAGAATAAAGGAATAAATGTAAGAAAATATAGCTGCCTAATAAAGAAACAAAAATGACCATTGTTATTGAGGGGAAAATAGAGGGATGTCACCAGTTAATTTTGCAATAGCATAAACTATTAAATTCACAGATACTAAAGGGTTCAAGGAAGACTGTCTTCATGGCAACATATGAGACCATGTGAAGAACTATCCCTAATCAATGCAAATACCAAAAATTACAATCAAAGTGAATCTCTGAGCTCTGCCTAAGACGCCTAGATACCCATCAAACTAAAAGCTGGACTTAGTCTAAATCAGGGTGATATTATAGAATCACAGAATCCCAGACTAGCAGGGATTGGAAGGGACCTTCGGAGATCATCTAGTCCAACCCCACCGCCAGAGCAGGGGCACCCAGAGTAGCTGGACAGGAATGCGTCCAGGCGGGTTTGGGATGGCTCCAGAGGGGGAGACTCCCCCACCTCTCTGGGCAGCCTCTGCCACTGCTCTGCCGCCCTCACAGCAGAGAAGGCCCTCCTCAGGTGGAGATGGAATTTCCCATGTTCCAGTTTGTCCCTATTGCCCCTTGTCCTGTCGCTGGGCACCACTGACAAGAGGCTGACCCATCCTCTTGCCACCTGCCCTTTAGATATTGACAAGCCCTAACAAGATCAATGATGAGATATTCTTCCCCTCCTCCCCACATCGAGGGATACCAGAAATGATACTTCATTCTCTCAGTGCCGTCTTTGACTTCGGGGTTATGTTTCACACGGAGAAGTTACTGCTCTGTTGTAGGTTAACAGTGGCAGAATCTGTCCCCATCCCATTTTCCGCATCTTTGCAAAAAATAGAACTGATTCTTCCGGAATGCGCGCGATGAAAGAACAGACCTACTCAGACCGAGCACGTTCGCTGTGCGCGGCGATGGAACTTCGCTTCACGTACAAACCTCCCTATCCCACCCTGAGCCGCGACTGGAGGTGACGCTCCCCGAGGCGGCATTGAGCCCGCAGAAGCCGGCAGAAAGCTGAGCAGCCAGAAAGGAGAGCAGCGGAGGATGCTAATGTAAACGAAACCGCGCCGTGCGGTCAAAGGTACGTTGGCAGTGCAAATGTAAACGACCCTGGCGCAGCCACAGCCCCGCGGCTGCACGGGATTAAGGGGACTTTGCGCGATCCGGCCGCGTGGCGACAGCCCTGCCAACGGACCGGTGGATTAACCGCACTAAGCAAACAGCCAGAGTGAAAAGAAAAGCAGAGTTTGATGCCCTTCACTGAAATTTTACTCTGTCCCACGGCACAACCCGTTCTAATTTGCTTGCGCTCTGGCAGATACAAGAGGAAAAAATATGCAAAGCCGCCCCTCGTCCCAGCTGTCAGCATTGCAAAACAAACGAGAGATTTGAATAAGTTTACTTAGTTGTTATCAGTATTAAAGGCACCTTAAGGGAATCATTCAGAGAGGAGAATAATTTGTAGTAGATAATAAACCACATTTTCCTCTATGTTCCTCCTTGGGAAAAATCTATTAAGACTTTATAATTAAAACTCCTGCATATAGTTCAACTAAATGTTTTTAATTGAAAAAAATGGTCTATTTTTAAAAATGTCCTTTTTATCGTAAAAACACTGTTTGCTTCCTTGCGAAACGCCACTGAAATTTATTAACTACCATTCTTCATCAAAACTGCTAATAAAACATTTCTTTACTCGCTCAGCAACTTGAAGCCATAAGATTTTGGCACCTAATTCCACGTCTATTTGAAAACCCTGGCCAAACAAACCAAAAAATTACTTTCTCTAATCCCTTTTAATCACAGTAGCAGAGATTATATGGGAAGATCTAAAATGTGTTCAGGCATGCGTGTCATTCCCCAAATTGTCCCTCTCCCCCTGTCCCCTGCGCTGATTAGCCCCATCAGCCCACAGTGACCGAGAGAGAGCATCCTTTCTGTTTGGGGTTTCGCTTCTGGGGTTGCTGTTATTTCACGCTTCAGGATCACTAGTTCGCATCGAAGGCACCGCAGTTTGATTCCGTACATCCATATGTATTCATACTGGAAAAAGCGTAATAAGCTAAAAACAGACTGTCACCACGTTCGCTATACTGAATTTGCTGTCAAATCTGTCTAAAGGTTATAAGCAGATTCCTTGGAGCAGTAAATTATTCATTTACTAAGTTCTTACCGCACTTTGAGTGGGAATAAAATTAAAAGTGTTTACTTACTGATGTATATAGGTATCCTTCACTGTTCATTGCCAGGTACAATTTTGTTTGAACCCCCTGAATCGCCACCACTCGTAAACCCACAGGTATGAGGTTAAACAAAGCTAGGAGAGAAAGGAGATGGAGAGCAAAATTAATCCTTCAGAGTATGCAGATTAGATAGAGAATTAAACCATGATTACCAGAACCAGATAAAAAATGCCCATTCACACATATATTAATTTCTATAGGTACTACAGAACAATAATGCTATTATTGTGTTCTTCTATAGCAATTTCCACCTATAGCTCAGAAATTAGCTACAGAGGGTATCAACGTATCTCCCCCATTCTGAAGATGATGAACTGGAGGTACTGAGAGCTGAAAGGATTTACCTACCACATGAGCACAATCCAGGGGCTGCTGAGTAGAGTTGAACACACTTAATTTGGTTTTGAGTTTTGGGTGGGTTTTTTTTTCCTGACAGTAAGCGCAAAAAAAAATAAAATCCAAAAACAAACAAAAAGTTTTTCAAAATGACAAAAACTTTTTTTTTTTTTGCAATTTCAGATGAAAGTCAGTAAACCTTTTTTTTTAACCAAAAGGAAGGAGCAAGATGAAGTTCAGAAAAGTTAAAAACCTTCATTAACATCTCAAAATGTTTCCACTCAAAACCCATCGGGGTTTTTTTTTTTTTTTAAATCTTTTTGAGGGGAGAATGGGTTTGAAACTACAGAGTTGAATAAATTCAAAATGAGATGAAAGACAGCATATCCTTTAGATCAAGACCTAAATCTTTCCTTTCAAAATTGAGTTGCTTCGAATGTTCTGCCTGCGTTTATGCTTGTATATGTGCTAACAGTGGCAGCATTTATAAGCAGAGAAAATTCTCTCCAAAAAAACCAAAGATTCTGGTTTGTAAAGTGGCAAATTAAAAAATAAAACAAACAATAAGCAAAGCTCTGCTGTAGCTTAGATTCACGGATATGTTAAAATTGAACACAGATAAAAATGAGTTGAACACAGTATTCTGTGTTCAAGACACAGGATTAAAAATAAAGGGGTGTTAAGGAAATTTTCAAGAACTGTTAACATAACCCAAAGCATCACCTTTCAGTCTCTTGTATAAATGCAGAGAAAGGATGAAGTAAGGCCAAACTGGCTCTTATTTCCAATGGTTTATTGTTTGGCTGGAAAACTCCGATCTGCTTCAGGCTGAAGTTTGGTATTTATGGTCACTGTCTGACACTAATTTAAAACTGAATTATGAATTTGATAGATTTTTAATATTTCCAAAAGCATAAGCTAAGAATTACGACCCATTATAAATTCCTTTTGCAGCCTGGCAACCCCCAAACGGTCATGTTTAATTAAAAGAAAATTCGCAGCCTGCCAGCGTTTAATACAGATGCTAAATCCTGGGTGTGGGGTTGTCAAGAACGTATCAAAAAAGGGGGCTGGCAGCCGAGGGACACGCTCCGGGCTGGGCTGAGCCTGCCCTGGCACCCCACCGACCTGCGGATGCTCTGCCCCCACGCTGGGGCACCTTTGAGCACTGCGTTCCCAACAACGGTCGAATATAGCAGAGCAGGTGGAAGTAATCAGAACTAACAAAAAAAAATACGTAGGAGATCATAAAATGATACCTGCGTTTTTCTTTGCCTCTCACAGACACGAGTGTGCATGCAGACACAAACACACACGCGCGCAGCCCCTCCTCACACTCGCTGCAAGCACAAAAGCAAGAGGAATGGCTTTCCCCATCACTAAAACAAAACCCTCTCGGTTCTGTGCAATTTGTGGCACGCAAAACGTAGATTTTTCAATACCGGAAAGGGATTTTCTCATTCGCTCTACCAAACGCTTGAATTTATTTAGGGGAGAAACTATTCCTTGTCTGACTCAGTAAATATTCCCATGGAGAGCCCTCTTCTGCAGTTCAGCCCCCAAAAAGCATCATCCCATCTTCGTGGAGGCAGGAGAGCACAATTTAAAGCTCAGGATCCAGGCAGAACCTGGAGATCTCTTTTGAGAGCTGCTTTCTTAATGGCATATTCACGAGTGGGGCGAGCGGGTGGGTATTTTCAGCACGAGGATACGTCTCTGGGCTCTGCTGTAAATAGTGCCACGAACCTGTCAGTAGATGGGCTGAGGACAGAGCAAAGCCTGGGAGAGTGGAGAATCAGGGTGGTTTGGGTTGGAAGGGACCTTGGAGATCACCCAGTGCCACCCCCCTGCCCTGGGCAGGGCCACCTCCCCCCAGCCCAGGTTGCTCCAAGCCCCGTCCAACCTGGCCTTGAGCACCTCCAGGGATGGGGCAGCCACAGCTTCTCGGGGCAAAAGACACAGCTGGCAGCCGGAGAGCCAGGTCTTCGTGAGCCCTTCCCGGCCGGGCTGTGCTCGGCAAAGTGAGCGGAGACACCAGGCTGAGCGACTACTGCCCGGGGAGGACTGGGACACCCGCTGCGACGGGCGCTCAGCTGCTTCCCAATGTGTTTTCCTGCCATAAATGTAGAGGGTCTATTTTGAGGCCAGCCGAGGGCCGGGCAGACTCAGAAGCTGGTTTAGACACGGGTGGGATGAGCAGCTGCTGTGGCACAGACTCACGGAAGCTGCTAAAGGGCTGTGGGGGAGGAACGGTGGCTCTGCCGCCGACGGGGAGAGGGACCGGCTGTCAGAGTGGGGGGACAGCCAGACACCCCGCCAGGCTGCCCCAGCTGCTGCATACAAGATGAGGGGACACCGGCACTGCGGCAAAAAAGGGGACGGTCCCCTTTAGTGGCAGCCATCGCTCCCACCATCCTCGCGCAGCAGCAAGTCCGATTCCTGCCTCTTTTGAGCACCCTGGGCTGGTGGGAGGTGTCCCTGCCCATGGCAGGGGGTTGGAACTGGATGATCTTTAAGGTCCCTTCCAACCCAAACCATTCTGTGATTCTAGGATTCTGTAACAGCGAGTGGCTCATCCGTGACCAGAGCCACGCAGCCCCCTCTTCTGCAAGCCCCCGACGCCGCAGACAGCGGGTTTGAGATGCTACCACATTTCCAGGGGTTGACCCTCGTGTGGGCAAGATAGGGCAGAAGGGGTGGCAAAAAAGCCACGGGAAAATAAATTGCTCGCTCCTTCAATAAGTTTGTGCTAGCATAAAATAATGCGAAGTTATTTGCATCCTAGCCTTTCCCTATGACATTCGTGCTGTTTAAAATAAGGGTAGAATATCCAGCGCAATGAAAAACTTGGTGATGCCTCAGGGAGAGCTGATCTCTGCTGCGGCCCTTGTACAATACAAGCTGACAGAGAATAAGAGCTGCAAAAGAAGAGGCAGCAGGTCACAGCTGGATTTATGAACGTATACATTACTGTGAGGTCTGAGCCATCCTTGGCTTGGCCACCTGGACCTCTGTACGCTTTACAGCAGCATATTGTTTCCTATATTTCCTTATTTTATCAGTCTTGAAATCTCTTCGGCTTGCCAAAATTGGGGAATAAATTCTGCCTTGATGTAAAACCTTGCCCTATTTAACGAGGCAAAAAATCTGTTTCTCAGCCAGGAAATCCTTTCCACGAGGCACCTCCTCAAACGACACGGACTCTCGGCTAAAACCCAGGTCTGGCGAGTGCCATGGCTCCTCCAAGCCACGTTTCGCTTCCTGCCGAAGTCGTGCTCCAAACCCCTCAGCTTTCCTTTAAACTCCCTGCAACCGGGGATGCAACCTTGGGTTTGTGAACCCCACGTGCAGCAGTGGGTCTGCAGAGCTTGGAAGAGTTGCTCCCAAGTCAGGAGCCGAAGGGGACCCTCGGGCAAGCTTCCCGCTCACCTCCGGGTAGCAAAGGATGGAGAAAGTGGGCTCCTGGCCCCAGGATGCTCTCAGGAGCCCAAACCAACAGCCGGGGGCTGTGAGCTCTCTCCAGCCCTGCCATAAACAGGCAAGAAATTTCCAAAATTTAAACGAGGCTGACCAACGCTCCGTCTGGGAGACCAGGCGGGCTATGGCTACGTCTTGCTCTGAAAAATGCAGTTTCAGAGTCCGAGCGCTGTGCAACCGCTTTGTTGGCCACAGCTGACTTTGAGGATGTTCCCCTTACTGTTAAAGGGAGCTTTAATTATCACCCTTCAAGGCAAAGGAAGCGGTCTCAGAGCAAACATTCAGCGAAGGTGACAAAAGGGAACAGCAATGATATCCCTCCGGGCTGCAAAGGGGAAGAGAAGGGAGCAGAGAAGGGGTCCCCGTCATTCAGAGGGGGCTACAGTCCTGTGCAGTGCATTAACATGGGCTAAATGAGAGATGTCTCTGCAGATATTAGAAGAAGGGATTTTAGAGGGCCTGATCCGCTTAATATTCATGTGAGCAAGGCTTTGGGAGAAGCCCCTTACGTGGACTCGGATCCACAGCATAAATCAGTCTCTCTTACTAGTTCCATGAAAAATATGGCAATTAAAACAAATTCAGGGCTGCGGGACATTCAGGTCTATGCACTTACCTTACATAAGAGAGGAATATATACAAAAGCATATGTTTTTTTGTTAATGATAAAACCCTCCTCTGAACACCTAGGTTCTGCAGCCCAGCTGCAACCGCTTCTGGGATACTTCCATTATATTTAAGTATTCAGCGTTCTGGAAGGCTGGTATCCAGCAACAAGGTGCTTTTATGATTTGCTTTGCAATCTGTCAGGTTATGGGAAATTTAAGGACACAGTGAAAACACACATATCTTAGAACCGGACACATTCGTATAAATGACAAAAGGACACATTCCTGTAAATTTATCTTCTTTTGAATCTCAGAATCCCTCTTGGAGGAATTGCAAGCGAAGTATTTGAATGAAAAAATCACTGAAAAAATATGGCATTTTAGATATTTGGTCTGGTACACAAAAAGCTTTTAATAGTATCATGCTTTGATGTAAAGAGTAAGCTTTGCCTATTTCTTCTACTTTTTAAAGATAATTAACAGAACTACCCTGAAATCCTGAACGATCTGTACTGACTTTTTGTGTCACAAATATTAGAGCATTCACTTGAAAGAAAAACCATGTTTAGGGTCTAGCAGGATCAGTCTTAGAGTAGGTTTAGTGGCTGCACTGAGGAGGACTCAGCGGGACGGCCGCAGCCGCCCAGCGCTGCACTGAGCTGGTCCTTGCGCCGCCTTCTCCGCGGGTGAGGACGGGACCCGGAGCCAAACCTCAGGTGTCCCACGCTTGGGCTTTACCCTCAGGCCAGCACCGTCAGAGGATGCTGAGGAGATCTCCTTCAGCAGCGTCACCGACTCCCTCCTGTCCCTCCGAAGTTAATACAGGGATGCAAAAAGGATTAAAGAGTGGGCCGGAAAAGCGTGGGAGCAAGCGATGGGACGGGGAAGACAGGATACTCCCTGCTGCATCTATAGCGCTTGCTCTGCCATATTCGAGTGGCCCGTAAAATGAAACGATCTTTCATCTGCAAGTGCTTTTCATCCGAAAAAAGATGGGACTTAAATCAGTGCTCGTTAATAATTTAAATGAAAAGTCTGCCGGTTGATTTTCGGGTTTGTTCTCCAAGTGGCCTGAAATACCTTCTCAAACTCCTTGCTCCTCCTTTCAGAACAGAAACGTAGTTTAAGCTAAACAGTACAACTACGTGAAACACTTAAATGTTTTATTCACACACCCCGAATCTGTGCTCTAGTCATATTTTCCTGTTTTCTATTAATTCTTCAAGTTGTAAAAAAAAAACCAAAACCACCAAAATCAAAAACATTTAGAGCTTTTTCCACAGAAAAGCTGAGGGAAAGAAATCTGGATGAAAGCTGAAGGTATAATTAAGTTTAGAAGTGGTAAAAAGTAATAATAATAGGGAAATGGGAACTTTAAAACGATGATGAACTCTCATTGTGTGAAATAACACAGCTCTGTTTGAATGAGCCCCTGTTAAGAGTGGAGATCGCGTTATTCTATTTCAGGCGCTCTGAGTAGGCGAGCAAATTTTCCCTGTTGAAAAAAAAAAATCTAATAAAATCCAAAGGACAGCAATGAACTTCTCTAGATTACCATGGAGATAACATTTGCTTTGTTTGTCATATGTGTCATCATTACCTCCCCTAGTTCATTATTTCTATAAGCGATTTTTATTTGCATTTCTCTCAGACCCAGTAAGTCTGAAAGGCTCCTGCGCTGGGAGCGCGGCGTTAATGCCGCTTCCACTCACTCAGTCATCCCAGGACAACAATTTTGAACGGATCTATATGGGAAGAACGAGACAGCACAATTCACAAACACGCCATTTATTCTCGTGTCACTTACTATAACTACTGTCCTCCTCTTTTGTTCCATCAATTGTTCCATCTGCTTGCAACTGCAAGTGGTATCCTTGCCTGCTGTATAGCTTTGTTACTATACCTTTAAGCTGAGGCTCTGTAAAAAAACAACAGCGAGATTAATGTGGGAAATCCTGATGTGCCGTGTTCCAAGCGAGCAGGATGCTCAAAACACACCTCCGGGTTTCTTCTCAAGGCTGAGATATGCAAAAAGACCCAAAACAACAGCAGGGCAACCGGCTTTGCAACGCTTTTCATTTAGGTTGAGATCAAATTTATGTCTGAAATCAATTACCAAAAAATGATTAAATGCCACTCTCGATTGTAACATAGGTAGCACAATAAATCCGGCTTCCAGTGACTCCAAATTCCGACAGTGTGCTGCTTGGCCTCAGGAGCTCAGCCCTATCTCTTTTAAGATTAGGAAGGAGCTGGCAAAGAGCGTATTCTGCCTTTCAAAAAGGCGTGAGTTCTTAAATGGAGAGGAAAAAGAGGACTACTACGATAGCGCTAATAAGAGCCATAGTGACAGTTGAGAGCCTAAATATATAGCAGCGAACGTTTAGCAGAGGAACTGCTGCAGCTTTAATAAACAAACCCCCATTCCTCGCTGCTCTGAGGAGCACAGAGCATCCGAAGTGATAAACTACTCAATGAACATATTGCGTTTTGGGGGGGGGGGGGGGGGGGAGCCCTGAAATCCAGCAATGTGTGGAACTGCAAAATAAATATTACCATAAGGGTTGAGGTAATTACCTCATCAGCTAGAAGAAGAAAGATCAAAACAACGCATAGTTTGGATAGATTTTTTTTTTTTCATAACCACTCTCAGATTCACAGTTAGAAAGTGAGATATCGCATACGGTTTCAGATCATTCTAGACCAAAAAGTAAACAGCAACAGGATCTGCTGTCGAGCCTGTCATTTAAGATACCTAGGTAATGCACCAGGAGTAATTGCAAAAAAGCTCTACTTCCACTGAATCCCAATGACATCTGCATTGTAGTCATTTCCCCACGATTATGCTTGTCAGGAGGTGATGCATCTCCGCAGCTCGCTCCACAACAACTTACTTAATTCAGAGATAAACATACTGTGAATATACGATGTGTCATTTCCACCAGCCAATGTCTGGCTAAGATTCCTCGTGTTTATAATCAAAGATATTAGGGAGGCTCGGCTACTGTACTTCATTTTGGAAGGAGACGAAGGCAAAGCTTACGATAGTGTGCATGAGTATATTAGCTCCTATTGGCAACCTTTAATAAGGGTACTGATGGATGCACGATCCTTACCTACCAACTTTTCTAACGAGAAATTAATTCAACCCCCAACTTTGGCTTTTTAGTCATAACGCATCCCGAAGCTGTTTGCAAATTGCGAGCCAGGCACCTCTTCTGTGGCCGCTGAGAGAGGGAGAGGGGTTAAGTGGCTAACGGCATCAATGTTTCAGCACAGCAAAGCGATAGCAACATTACCAGAGGGCTTTGCTCCTCCCATGTACAAAAAAAAAAAAATAATCCCCACTCAGAAGGGACTGAGTCTTCACGCCTGAGCTTTTGCACCTCTGACACAGAGAGCATCGCGTCTGCGGGGCAGCTGCATGGCGGAGATTCCTAGAAAGGAACGGGGCGCTGAAGCAAAACTCTGGAAGGTGTCAGCGCAAGCAAAAAGCCTTGGCTGCAATCGGCAAATGAAGCACGGCACAGGCATTCTGCGAAGCAGGAAGACAAAACCCAGATCTCTAGACTGCTAAGTTATTTAACGTACAACTGAAGGAGGTGTACGTGTGGGAACTTCCCATACAAACATCTCCCCCACAAATAAATCACGTGTGTTCGTCTATGTGTATGTGTAAGACGGGCTACTAAATTACCCGTACATGGGCGTGCAAGTGAGGCAGAAAACAATGGTGTGTTATCCAAATAAACCAGACAAGCACAAAAAGGGAAGGGACTGGCATGGGGTCCCCGCGTCTATCGCATCCTACAAGCCAGGAGAGACAACACCTGCACATTCATTTTACCAGCCCTGAGGCACCGGTCCCGCTTTCCCCACGCCTGACGCGTATCCCAGTTTGCATTAAATTTAACAAACCAACCCCCCAAAGACATAACCCCTGCCAACCTGGTCGCCGCCTTCGCCTTTTCTTGGAGCCAAAGAGTTTGACCCTGGAAAACACATTCAACTTGTTCTTGTCGCAGCTTCCCTTGCTCTTGCTGGGGCTGTTGACACACTTACAGGCATTGGACTTCTCCCGCTCCCTGGCTTGTCTCTTCTGGCGGATCAGGGAGCTGGCGATGGCTGCGGCCATGGCCGCCACCGCCCCGGCACCACCGGCG